TCTAGGGGCAGCTGGTCCCTGCTTTCCCTTCTCTGCAGAATGATCCTCAACTTATCCACAGATCAAGTTGGGTCCCAAATCCACCATTTTGGTCCCAACACCTAACTCTGAGTTATACACAAGGTTAAAGTATACACGGATATTTAAGGTAATTAACAAAATGCTCAATTCTCACTAAAAGCCTTAAAAGTTTCTATGTAGCTAGAATACTGTCATTTCCTTTAATTAAGTGATTCAGCTTGAAACATTAGAAAGGCATAATGTTGCAGGAACTCAATCAAATGTTTTCTTTTTCAGTTGATTACACTATGTAACATCATTTTAAAAATGTTATTTTCCTGGTTTGAAAGTGTTATATCCTGTTTAATTGTGCGGTACTTACTTTGACAGTAGTTACTATACTGCAGAAAATTTGTTTTTGTGGCTGCCACAAATTTGGTTGAATTGGTTGAGACTCTATGATATATTGATTGAAAACTATAGCAAAATGTGCCGCAGAATTTCCCACAAAAACGTTTTTGTAGTTTAATAAACCTTTTCCATGTTTTTTAAATGATAGAACCAATTAGGAAATGACATTTATAACCTAGAAACATTCTCTGGAACCAAGTTACTTTGAAGGGTTTAAAGGAAACTTACTGTTAAAACTGTTTGTACATATTTTGTGTACCAAATATATTCTCATACTACTGTTAGTTTTAGTAGTTAAAAATTCTTTACTTACAGGCCTTCTTCTTTTATTATCTCCAACAGAACTGTGTGTGTCGTTTTAGATTTGCGTTTTTCATCAACTGGAAGATAAGACAAATCTTTATGAAAACTTGAAATATCTTCATCTTGTTCCAATATTGTTCTGAATACAGCTTCAAATTTAACAGATATGTCAGTCATTTTGCATCTCTAAGCAAGCCATCAAAATGTTAATATGTAGTGAAATGAGGAAGCTGTAGTTTTGATTTGGAGCTTCTGGTGGTGTAATGGGTTAAACCGCTGAGCTACTGAACTTGCTCACCAAAAGGTCGGTGGTTCGAGTTCAGGGAGCAGGGTGAGCTCCCGCTGTTAGCCTCAGTTTCTGCCAACCTAGCAATTTTAAAACATGCAAATGTGAGTCGATCAATAGGTACCGCTCTGGCAGGAAGGTAATGGTGCTTCATGCAGTCATGCTGGCCACATGACCTTGGAGGTGTCTACAGACAACGCCGGCTCTTCAGTTTAGAAATGGAGATGAGCACCACCCCCCAGAGTCAGATACAAATAGACTTAATGTCACAGGAAACCTTTACCTTTTAAGTTTTGATTCTGACCAGTATAAGAGATACCTCTGCTTTCTGCTTACCTACACGTATGCTATACTTTGAATTAATTTCAGAGGACTGACTAATTTATTCAGTTCCAAATCTCTCTTTTCATTACTTACAGTAAGTCTCCTAACCTCAAATGTATAATGTTTAAAAATCCCATAGGTCATGCTAGAGTAAATCCAGAACGTCTCCATAATTTTCAGGGCCAAGTATGAAACAGGGCCCATCCATTTTTCTCTTCCAAAAACTCAAGAGAGATATACAGAAACAAAACTATGGTTGTATTTTTAAAATATGTGCATCTTACTTCATGCACATAACAACATGTCTGTGTATATATATTTGCCAGTTGTCTGTCAATTTATAGTGACCCCATAAATTTCATAGGGTGATTTTGCCAATTTCTTCCTTTAAAATATAAGCAATTGAATTTGGCAATCCATGGTGGTCTCCCATCCAAGTATTAACCAGAGCTAACTCTGCTTAGCTTGCAATATTGTCTAGCAGATACCTAAGACTACACTTATATGCATCTTACTTCCCGCACATAGTAATATGCCTGCCAGGCATTCGTGTCATAAAATATCTTGATTATGTACTCATGTAATGGAGGCAACACAAGAGCACAAAAATCAAGATATTAAATATCCCCTTTTCTCTATGACAGTGTTATTAAAATCCACCAGTGAGGAAATACAGATATAAAAACCAATAACTGGAAACATTTCTAAGTGCCAAGGATTTTTTTAGGTTCTGAAAATACCAAACCCATGGAAACAGGCCATTCAAAAAAAAATTGACCGTTATATCAAATTGAGAAGTTACATGCAGTACCCAGCACTAATGACTAAGCATTGCTGAAAGACCACCATCGTTTCTTTGGAAACCATTACATTTTTTAAAAAAACTTCCTTCAGGCATAAGGAAAATTCTTTTATATGTCAAATTGCAGATTTTAAAATTGCCTTATAATTGACTTTGGACAAAGAGGACCTTGTTCAGCAAAGACGTTCACTAGGTTGAGCAATAGAAAAGCCAGTATTTCACATCCCAACCTATTTTGCAGGATATAATAGGCAGAACCATGCATGTTGCCTTGAATACTCAAAGTGGTGGTCCTGGACCAGTGCTAGTACCCGAGTTATCTACACCTGGTCCCAATACATTATCAAAAAAAGAAACAATGAGACCAAGAAGCACAAATATATAATTGGGGGAGGGGGTGAGTCTTCCATACTAAGTTACCTCAGAGACTGCCACAAAGGAATAGCAGCATATAAGTGCAATAAATAACACGATAATATGAAGATTTCATAAAGATTAAATGTAATAACATGTACTTTCTCACCTTGAAGCCTTAGTCTAGCAGTATCCAGAGGAAAAAACACAGTCATTGCAGTCATGCTACCCTAAAAAGTTTTAACAAAGATTGTTAGTCTTAACAAATAATTGGATTTTGTACATATATAAAAAGGTAGAAAAAATTAAGAAACTTGATTTAAAAAGATTATTCCATATATTTCGGCCTCTGAACAAACTTTTAAATCTTCTGCAAAAGTAATTCTTTGTTTTTTAAACAGTAAATATCTTAATAAGAGCTTTAATTAAACAGTAAAACCCAGTGGCGCAATGGGTTAAACCCTTGTGCCGGCAGGACTGAAGACCGACAGGTCAGAGGTTCAAATCCAGGGAGAGCGCGAATGAGCTCCCTCTGTCAGCTCCAGCTCCCCATGTGGGGACATAACACAAGCCTCTTGCAAGGATGGTAAAGCATCAAAACATCTGGGCGTTCCCCTGGGCAACATCCTTGCAGACGGCCAATTCTCTCACAGCAGAAGCGACTTTCAGTTTCTCAAGTCACTCCTAACACGGAAAAAAAAAGCAAAACTATGACAGTGTAAACATACTCTATTAAGCTAAGTTAAGTTTCATATATGCTAGCTATTGTTTCGTAAATCAAGAAGATTCTATTTTGGAAAGGGCTTCTAGGATGTTATTGGCCTAGCAAACCTAATATACAATGAAAATACAGGATTACACATTTAAAGAATCACAAAATTGCAAAGTTGGAAAAGACACCAAGGTGATTTAGTTCAAACGACTGCCAGATAAGAACTTCACAGCTGAAATACATCGTCACACCCCACCCACCCCCGGCTCTTTTTTTTTTTTTAACAGCAAAGGAGAATCCACGAAACATGTCAGGTAGTCTGTTTAGCTTTCATTCAGTTCGTATTGTTGGGAAATTCCTCTGGACCTAATGTATAGTTAAAAAAAAACCTCTTCACCATTCAAATCTCCTGGTCTTAGTCCTATCTAGTAGAAGAGCAGAAAACACTTTCAATTTTCCACATCTTCAAATATCTGAACATGGCTACCATATTGGCTTCTTGCTTCTCTAGATCGAGCATACTAGCTTGTTGACATATTTCTTAGGCTGTAGTGGCCAGAATTTAGCAAAGTACTCCAGGCGAGATCTGGCCAAAGCAGAATAGACTGGCAATAATTATTTTATACACCTCACCTTCGGCTACAGTAGCAAAATATTATATCAGCCTTTTTGCAACCACCACTGATTCATATTTAGCTTGTGTTCTATTATGATCCTTTAATTATTTCAAATATACAGCACCAAAGTCATGTGCCACCACCATTCTAGGATTATGCATTTGATTTTTCCTGACTAAATATGAAAGTTTTTACTTCTATTTCAATTCATTTTGTTTGTTTTGGCCCAGTTTTCCAAACTGTTAATCTAATCTTGAATCATAATTTTGTTTTGTTTTTTAATTATTAGCTTCTATTCCACATTTGGAGTCCATTTTCTCCAGAATGCAAAGAACAATTGGTGAAAAGTGTTTATGTCAGTGGTTTCCAATCTGTGGTCCATGGACTAAAATATTGTTCGCACACTCACCGTTAATTCACCCTTGCAATGAGGGTGAGTGGTGTAACAAAAACCCCTTATAGTGCTGAGGCTTATTAAATGTGGTTTTCTATGGACGATCAGATGGTGACTACTGGATGGCATATGTTCTGTATCAGAAACTAGAGCTGATGTGGTCTATCCAATGCAGTTTTCTGAATCAGCACCCCAAATAACCAAACCAAATCTAAAGTTGTCCACAAACTGATTCGTAACCCTTTTGGTACTAATTTTGGAGTGTGGTCCCTGGTCAAAGTGATCCCTGGTCAAAAAAATGTTGGGAATCACTGGTCTATGTCAACTAGCTACAGATACATCTGACAGATGAGCCATTTACCCAATATTTTACCAGCTTGTCCAAAAGCGTATCATTGAGAACATAATTGAAACCTTGACAACAAAATGTATACATCCATAGCATTCCCCTAAACTGTCAGACTTGTAACTCATAAAAAGTGATAAGATTATATAAACATGAGCCAAGTCTATCGGCTAAGAAAATGTGCTAATTTTTCAATCAAAATCTAGGGAGGAAATTGCGACTGAACATGAGAAACCTTTTTAAAGATTTTAAAACTGAGTTTTGCAATCTGAAGTAAGTGGGCTGAGATAACAAATCTAATTCATCCTCATTCCTGCTCCACCTTTACAAGTCTGAACAAATTATAGAAGTGACAAGTCAGTGAAATAGTAAGTGGAAAACTATCTGTGACTTCTCAATAATATTGTCAGCAATCATTCCCTGCCAGTGCTTCAGACTACTGATTTCAAAATGGTCAGAAGCAAAGCATTAGCAATGTAGCATGAATTATTTCTGTTCTTTGTGTAATGTTCAATAACTTTTAGTAAGTATATTGTTTAATTACATTTTTACAAATGCCTGATAGACCTGCCAGCCTCAGTTCATTCACAGGTGCATAGACATAAGCTGGCCCTCAAAGGCCAACCAAAACATTGTCATTTGCTTTAGCTGATTTGGGGTCAGCTAGAAGTCTTCTCCCTCAAGCTGATAAATATTCATACAGTCAAAATATCCTACTACAGACACATTCGGAAACATCTCACATTATCCAGGTACCTATAAAATCCATGATGATGCCAAGAACAAGGCCTGGCCCAGAATTTACATTTGGTTTTGAAAGCACTTGAAACAGCAAGTCATCTGACAGATATATTTGACAGATAAAGCCTACGATATATTTGGTACTGGTGAGAACTCTTTTAGCGACAGGACATACATTAAACAATTGAATTTAAGATGTACTGCAATTCAAGACAGAATATGGACCTGTGTCTTCCCCCCCCCCCCCCTCCACAAAATTACATTTTTTTAAGATAGGGAAACACTGCTCTGTTATACAGCACAACAGAAATTGCCACTGTGACAGTCACTACAAACACTCCTCCCATATGCAGGACAAACTCTTGGTCTGACTAGTTTCAGCCTAGCAATACAGTTATCACATAAATAAAAAGGACGAACTAACCCAACCTAAATGTTAGCTGCTTTGAACAAATTATTTAGTACTAAAGTTTCAAACAACAATGTACACCTATAATTTTGGATAACTGATACAGTATTTGTCCAGAATATGTATTGTTCTGTTTCCTTTTTACACTATTCAGGGTTTACAAAGGTCATCCGTCCAGAAAGTTGTAGACAATGTACAGAGAAGAGAGGCAGGAATCTGTAAAATTCCAAGAAAGGTACTACATATCTATTAATGGAGAACCTGATGTTTTTCAGAACCCTAGAAATCAAAGTTCAGATACAAAGAATGCATTTGTAGTCCTTATGACTATGAAGATAATTTAAAGATGTGTAGCAATTTCAATTAAAAACTGAGCTGTCAGAAAGTTCTGCTCCCATTCCTTAAATAATATGGCAATTCAAAAAGATCTCACTTTTTCAAATCAAGCTGCTGATTAAAAAAACCCTCTACATTCTACAAGCACAAACAATAAACTGCTATTTAGAAAATAAAACCTACAGTTACTGGTGAAAGGCTCAAATAACTTTAAAAAGTTTATTCCTCTTATTTAATTTATTTTTAAAGAGCAGGTGAATATTCTCTGTACTACATCTGCACCAAAATGAGCAAAGGTATTTCTAGTGGTAGCCCCTTAGGTACATTTTGCCTCCCTTTGGAGGCTTACTAAGTAAAATCAATGTTTAGAAACACATTTACTCAGTATTAAGTATGGCATTATTCCAGCATTAAAATTTATCTTTGTAATATGAAAATACAGGGTTTTTTTCCATTTAAAAAAAACTTATTTACCGCAGAAGTACCTTAGTTATGGACTGGTATTATTATTATTGCATAATTCTATATCTTCCTTGGGTTAATCTGCAGATGTTCAATAGTAAAAGTGTGTGCTAACAAAGAAAGGAATTTTGAAGGTATTACATGATCTGTATTGAATACTCATAAATTTATGGCACATTTATTAAGGTAAATTACCTTTATTTACATGTTTATCCTGCCTTTCCATTTCTTAAGACAGCTAACAAGCATAACTAAAACATCTTAATCACAAATTAAAGCTAAAATAAACACAAATGATACAACAAAAAATTAAAATCATAATCACAATCAATAATGGAACTAGTTTAAAAAACCAGTGTAAAGAAATGTTTTAACTCTTCTCCAAAAAGCAGTTAAGACAAGGAACTGACCACAACTCTTAACTGAGGGGATTCCACATTCAGAGTAACTCAAGAGAAAGCCCTCATGGATCAAGTGGGTCCCCACAGACAGTGATACACAAAATATTATGTCTATGTATACATTACTATTCTCCTTAGGAGAAAAAACCTGCTGTTTCACATTTTTTGTTCAATGTTTTTGCTACCTTTGGACACTGCCTTTGCAAACAGTCTGTAACAGAGGTTGTTAAAACTGTGCTTTACAGACCATGTGAAATCTGGTAATTTCATTTAGTTGACTGACCAGTAAAAAGATTTTGTTGTTGTGTGCCTTCAAGTGTTTTCCAATTTATGACAACCCCAAGACAAACCTATCATGGGGTTTTCTTGGCAAATTTTGTTCAAAAGAATTTGCCTTTATTTTCCTCTGAGAATGAGAGAATGTGACTTGCCCAAGGTCACCCACCGGGTTTCCATGGCCAAGCAGAGATTTAAACCTTGTTCTCCAGAGTCATAATTCAACACTCAAACCACCATTCCATGCTGGCTCTGCCCAGTAAGGGTACAGAACAGTTGAAATATCCCTACATGACCCTCAACTTGATGTATTTTCTGACAATGGAGATCATGGATGTTTCAGCAGGGGATAGCTTATTAAATAGGCTGACAAGGGGTTGGCCCAGAGCCCATGTTTTTCATAATACTGTGCTATTTTTGATGACAAAGCAAACACTGAAGAACAAAAAGCTTCTTACATTGTTTATCAAGATCAATTTTAAGTGGTGAAACTGCATATAGTAAGAACTGTTGTTTTTGAGATCCAGGTAATTCAC